AATAGCCCCAAAGCACTATATTTTAACCATTTGTGTCTCGCTGTCTCTGTATTCACAGAGCTCAGCAGAGGTCCAGGCCTAGAATAGGTTTCAGGAACTTTCTGCTGAGTGAACGACTGCATGAGCAGGAAAGGGGAGCCTACCACCAAGGCCAGCACTGGGTGGGGCAGCTCACCTTAATCTCACTGAAGGTGCCCAGCGTGTGGTCCCAGGCAGGTACCAGGTGGTGCAGGACACTGTCCAGGATCTTTATGAATCTGGGGTGGGTAGGTAAAAATAAATGCAGCTAAAGAGTTGGGCATGGATGTAAGGGCAGAGTCCCCCTCCCCAATACACAGGGACAAGGGAAAGGCAGGGCATAGGGGCTGCTCTGACTCTTGAAGTGAAACAGCTTATAGTACAAGGCCTTGAGGACCTTCTCCACACAGTTACAAAAGCCCAGGGTGGGGGAAAGGGAGGGCCTGGCAGGTCCAGCTCCATAGCCACCTCTGTAGGAGAACAGCTCTGCGGTACAGTACTTCCGGGTCAGTGCCTTCCAAGCGTGGATATCGCACCAGACTGGTTGGTTGGAACAGGTCTGCATTCAACCCTAGTTCCCGCTGCCTAGATGACTTGATCTTGACCCCTCGAAGACGCACGTCAATTCCATCATCTGAGGAAGGGGTCAGAGTGTACCTGCTACCTCCTTGGCCCCAGGCCTGGGAATGGCTCCTCACTCCTCAGCCTTTTGTCACCCTTAGCTCCTAGAAACTCGAGACCTCTGGTATCCCCTTCTACCCACCAGACTGTGATTTATACATTCTTTTTTCTTTTGGTTTATGTATTCTTGATGGCTTTTCTGTCCACCATTGTAACGTTGGGATCCCTGAGGGTTGCCACTCAGTTCCTCTCCTAGGTGAACCGTTATGACTTCAAAGAACCTCCTTTAAAGCACCTCCCACCTGGCTCAGGCTCCTATGCCTCAAATCCTGGGGTTACCTCAGCCATTACCTTCACCCCAATTCTAAGCCCATCTCCTTTCTACACCTACTGTCAGCTTGTCCCATCTATATACTGGCTCCCTTTCCCTCTCCACAGCCTCAAGTCCCACCTCGGCACTCAACGATGCGGATCTCGATGATTGGGAGGTGGACGGTCATGTCCTCCAGGACACAGACATCCCCGATCAGGGTCCTGAGGAGATGAGTGTGAGGCACTTTAGACACTGTCCCCTCCAGGCCTTCAGGGATTGCGGGGTCCCATTCAATCTTAGCTGAGTCAGGCCCCATTGCTAGGATCACTCCTCTTCCCCCAACATCCCAGGCCAGCTCACTCACTCATCAATGCTCACGTCACTCAGCTTCTTCAGGTTGTCCCCTTCACCCCCATAGACCACCACTCGCTTAGGCATAAAGTTGTCATCTGTGGTATCCACCGTGAGTAGCAGCTTCCTGGGGAGTCAGAGTGTGCACATGGGTCTCTGTGTACCCAAAAGCATGTGGCTCACCCATCCTGCTCTGCCGCAGAGCCCACTTACTTGACAATGGTGCCCTTCTTCATAGTAAGCCGTACCCAGTGCTGGCATTGGGACCCATCACTCTCCCAGTAGGTGTCTGCATTGCTATCTGTCAGGCAGGACACATTGAACTCTTCCTGGGGAGGAGCAGAAAGATAGAGTAAGCAGTTACCCCTACTCCCTACACTGGGGGTGTGCTTTGGGCCAGGGAGCAAAAGAGAGAAAGCACAGTGGAGCTGGGCTAATACGGCAAGTGGCATGGGGGGTGCTTAAGGGGTCCCTATAGTAGTTCCAAGATGGGAGGCTAAACTGGGTGTGGCCTGTGGGGTTTGGGTCTGGCCTTGACGTAGAAATGGGGTTCTGAATCTAGCCTTGAGGCACATGGCTACATCTTGCCTGGGGTCGGGGGAGTCCCAGCACCCACCGTGTAGGAGGAAACGTCTATGCTCTCCACATACTGCTTCACGCTACCCAGGTTCTCATCCTCCTTGCCCAGGTGGTCGTACAAGAAGTGGATCAGGTCCTCGTCGCACTCGTAGGTCCATGTTGGGGGCACATAGCTAAGCAACCCAAGCCCCTAATTAGGTCGGGCCCAGACCTGGAGCTCCCTCCTCCCCGTCGTAGCCCAGCTCACTTACAGCAGCCTTTGTACAGCTTCAGTGTAAGGCTCCGCCGGCTGAGGCTTCGATCCAAGGCGATGCGAGTATGTCAGGTCCACTACTTGCTCCCATCTGTGGACACAGCGTGGGAGGTGGGATGGGGAGACATCAGCCGGCAGCAGGACACCTACCTCAGGCGCGGAAGTCTCCTCCAGAGCGACTTCTCCAAACCACACCCCCAGGAGCCCCTTCAGGTCCCGCCCCTTCCGGCTCTTAACCTAGTCTCCGTTCCAATATACCACCTCCCAGGCCAGTGGCCGACTTGTGTCCAACTCCTCCTTGCCCGGCCATCTAACAGCAAGTCCCACCCCTTCAGGTGCAGGACCTGAGCACTGGCCGGTAGTCCACACCGAAGAGCTGCTGCTGCCGCTGGAGGTGGTCGGGGGTGTCGATGGGCACGAGGCGGGCCCCGCCTTCCGCCGGGCGGCACACCAGCAGCCAGCCTGAGTCCAGCCCGCATTCGCCCAGGTGTTCTGCTAGTTGCTCCTGCCAGAAAGGGCCAGATGGAGACAGCCGTCAGGACACTGCCCAGCGGCCCGCCCTGCCCCGCCCAGGGCAAAAGACACTGAACACAGTGTCGGCTCAATCTGGGGGAGGGCGGGGGAGAGGAACAACCTGGGGCTTCCCTGGCCCCAGGGGTCTTTTGCGAGTCCCCGGGTAGGCCAGGCCGCACCTTGGTCAGCTTCACCCAGAGTCCGTGGCCGTTGCACAGCTCCTCTCCCGTAGTGCGCACGCAGGCGCCGCGCCGGAGCTCGATGCTATCGCGGGCAGCGCGGAGCGGTCCGGAGCCAGTACCTGGGGCCGGGCCGGCGGCACCTACACGCAGCCCCAGGCCCTCCGCCTCCCACACTGGCAGCAGCACGCGCGACGGTCCCGCCGGGTCCTTGTAAAGCTTGTAGAGTACCTCGCGCGGTACGAAAGCCAGCGCCGCCGGCAGTGGCCGCCCGGCGCGGAGGTTCCGCGCTGCCTCCGCCAGGAAGCGCACGCGGCCCAACAGCTGCCGTGGGGACTCCAACGCTGCTCCCGGGCTTGGGCCCGCCATGGTGAGATGGCTGAGGGAAGCCTAGGGGCGATCCAGCCCTTAAAGCAGTGGCTGCAAACGCTGACCGAGCTTCCCACCACGCCCGGCCCCGCCTCCGGCCAGCCGTCGCCGTATATTCTGGACTATGCGCACACACTTTCGTTGTATTGCCCTGTGTACTCTGAGCTCTCCAGCCACAATACTTATCCCCGCCTCCCACCATGTCCCCTACCCAGCCAATCAGACCCAAGTTCAGTCATTTTTACCTGATAATCCTCTCCTCTTCATTCCTACTGCTACACTGTCATTCAAGCCATAATCCTCTCTAGACTGGATTATTGTAACTGTCATTTTTCTGGTCATCCCGCTTCCTGTCTTACTTCCCCTCCCTTTCCCCCTCAAGCCGTCCTACTACCACCAGAGGAATCTTCTAAAAACGCACGTGAGACCATTCGCTGCTAGACATCTGACTTCCCATCTTAGGGGTGGTGTGACTAAAACGTTTGGGAGAATGACCCCCATCCCATCCCTATCACTACGGAGTGTTGAGTCAATCCATATCTAAGTTGCTTCTCCTATTCTCAGGACACTGGTGATCATTAGGAGCCCTGGTGGCGCAGTGGTCAAGCCTTGGCTGCTAACCTGAAAGGTCGGCGATTATGAATCTACCAGCAGCTCAGCAGGAGAAAGATGTGGCAGTCTGCCTCGTAAAGATTACAGCTTTGGAAACCCTATGGGGCAGTTCTACTTGCCCTATAGAGTCCCTATGAGTCGGAAAAGACTCCACGGCAATGGGTTTAATGAATTGATGATCACTGTTCAATTTCTCCTGGCTGCCTCAGTGGTGGGAAGGAAGGGGCAAAGAAAGAAAGGAACTGTTGGTGAAGTACCGGAGGAAAAGGAAATTTTTTTGACATAATTTTCACATAACTGAAGTTATCGAGAAAGAAACGTACTTTTGACAGTGCTCCATTTTTTCCTCCTAAGAAGTTGAAAACAGTGCCTCTCGTTGCCTCCCTCCAAGCTATTTGTCTGCTACCGACTTGACAGCACCTAACAACAACAACACATTTCTACAGGATAAAGTGAACCAGTGCGCCGCACAAGGGCTTGCATGACCTGGACCCTGCTGGCATCTCCAGTTTCTCCTCTACCCTCCACCAGACTGATCTCCCAGTGCCTAAGAACAATCACATTTGCTCTTTCTAGTCTTCTCTTTGCACATGCTGTTCCCTCTGCTTGGAGGCCCCTCCCCCAGTTTCCCCCAGTTAAGCTAGTTGCTTCCAACTTTTTCCCTCTTCAAACATTTACCATTGTGATTGTGGTTTCTCTATTTCCCCATTAGTCTAGCTCTATGGAGGCAGCGACTGTCTTGTTCACCACTGTAATGTCTGCATCTAGTGTAGCGGCTGGCTCTTAGTAGGGAATATATACAATAATTTCAGTTTTCTGTCCGGATGTTCCATCATCTGCTGTATGCCTAGCTGGATCAGACAAAAGACTGTTAGAATCATGGAGAATGGGAGTGAGAAGGAGACTTGGGCCGAGGCTTTGGGATTCTCAGGCCATCCTAGGAGAATAAATTGCTCATGCCATCCTAAGATGTAGTTACAGCATAATTCTTTCTTTTGGGCGTTTGCTGCTGCGCCGCTACGGCAGACTTTACGGTGAAGAAAGGTAAGCGTCGTTTCGGCGGCAGTCTAGGCAGCCTGGGAGCTGTCACTGGAGTCTGATCATGTGACTTTCAACATGGCGACGTCCGTGGCTCAGTCCAGGAAGGGGCGGAGCCTGGGCAGGGGGCAGGCGTAAAGTCAAGTTAACGTGGGGACTGTGCTGACATTTACAGACGGCTTACCATGGAGGCGAAAGAGTTGGGGTGAGTTCTCCGTAGCACCCGATAAGGCCAGCGGGGCTTCTGACCCGAGTATTCTAATTCATGAACCTCTCCCTTGCCCACCCCCCTCCCTGAAGATCTCCCAACCCGAACCCCAGTCGCTGGGATCCTGATCCTCCCACGGATTCCTGAGACCTTCATCTAAGGGATCGCTTAGCTGTACTGCGTTCCCCAGACCTTCATTTAGGGGATGCTCCCAGGACTTTCTAATCCTCAACTATGATTCCCCCTTGAGTGTAACAGTCTTGGGGGGGGGTCTCCCAGCCCCAGAGCCAGCCTACTGGGACCCCTGTCCCTGAGATTCTCAGGTCCGAAGACCCCCAAACTATCTGGGCTTTCGCCCCCCATCCCCCACCCCCGCCCTGGTCCCTTCAGTTGCTTTAAGCTTGGGGGAGCTGGGACTTTGTAGAGGGAAGAGGCCTCAGCACGAGCCCTTCTGGAGTCTTGTACACCACTTGATAGGCAGAGGAGGCGTAATGGGCGGGGAGCTGCGGGCTTGGTAGCTGGCCTGCAGCAGGCAGATAGCGGTCCCGGAGTGAATCCACCTAAGAACCCGCGCCTTCTCCTGCCTTCCCCATCCCCCAGCCTACCATCGTACTGACGCCTACCCTCCTCCCCTCACCTGTACTCCAGACGCCAGGATTTTCCAGAGCTGAAGAATGACACGTTCTTGCGAGCAGCCTGGGGGGAAGCAACAGACTACATTCCCGTTTGGTGCATGCGGCAGGCAGGCCGCTACTTACCAGGTCAGGGTCAGGGTCAGGGTCTGCGAATCTATGTAAAACACCGCCGAGTGAAAAGTCTTTGAGGAGCGGGAGGGCTCTGGAGGGCCTCAAGGTCGAGTCCAGCCTTCTCTCTCCTGCCTGTAGAGTTTAGGGAAACTCGGGCTACCCAGGACTTTTTCAGCACCTGTCGCTCCCCTGAGACCTGCTGTGAACTGACTCTGCAGGTGAGGGGTCCACAAAGGAGGGAGGGATTTCTTCCCTCAGCTTGCCAGCTAGCAACCCCTCTCCTATTCCCCACAGCCACTACGTCGATTCCCTCTGGATGCTGCCATCATCTTCTCCGACATCCTTGTTGTGCCCCAGGTACAACCCAAACCTGATTCTGGAATGGGTAAAAAAAAGGGGGGAAAGATCACTTGGAAGTCCTTCTGTCAGTCTAGTCAGGTTCAAGATAAGCACATATCCTCACTGGACAGAGAGGGAAAACTAAAGCTGGAAGATACAGAGTTTGGCCTGACTTCTCTCTTCTTGGCATAGGCTGGACAGAACCTTTCCTCCTGGAATTCCAGGTAGAGAACCCAGATGTTTTCTCCCCCTTCAGGCACTGGGCATGGAGGTGACCATGGTGCCTGGTAAAGGACCTAGCTTCCCAGAGCCGTTAAGGGAAGAACGGGACCTGGAGCACCTACGAGATCCAGCAGCAGCAGCCTCTGAGCTGGCCTATGTGTTCCAGGCCATCACCCTTACCCGACAGCGGCTGGATGGGCGTGTGCCACTGATTGGCTTTGCTGGTGCGCCGGTAATGTGAGACAGTGCAGGGGCCAAGGCATGGGGAAATCACTCTGGCAGGTCTGGTGTAGACAACGGAAGGAGGGAAGTGTCAGTTTTCCTGTGACATCCTCTTTGCATCCTTCTGCAGTGGACCCTGATGACGTACATGATTGAGGGTGGCAGCTCAAGCACCATGGCTAAGGCCAAGCGCTGGCTCTACCAGAGACCTCAGGCCAGTCACCGGCTGCTTCGTATCCTCACTGACACACTGGTACCATATCTAGTGGGACAAGTGGCTGCTGGTGCCCAGGTGAGTCCTGAGCGGGGAGACAAGTAGGCTGGGATTTAATCTATAAGGACTGAGAGGGCAGGGATCTTAATGCCAGACATGTGGGAATTTTGGCCTCCAATGATCTGGCTGGAGTAGCCAAGCCCTTTGTGACACTGGCAAGGGGCTTGATGCTCTGTGTGTTCGAAGACCAGAACTATTTCTGGGGTCTGCAGGAAAGTCAAAACTTTTTGACTAGACCTAGGCCTATAAGCTCAGGCAGTATCAGAGGTTGAGGTCATGTGAGGAAAATTGAGGCACATTCTGTGTGTGAGTCCGGGGGTTACTTCCTCTTTGTATGTTATGTATTTCTTCTCACCACCCCCTAACTGCAGGCATTACAGCTCTTTGAGTCCCATGCAGGGCATCTTGGCCCACAGCTCTTCACCAAGTTTGCACTACCCTATATCTGCGATGTGGCCAAGCGGGTGAAGGTCGGACTGCAGGAGGCAGGCCTGGCACCAGTGCCCATGGTGAGGATGGGAATGGGTGACTTAAGATGGGCCTGTGGAGCTTTCTGGGCAAGTCTTGCATGCACTATAATGACCACTGGAGGGCAGCAGAGGTACAGCTCAGAAAGGTTAGTGGGCATGGCAAGGCCCTCTGGCCTTAGCTATCTGCCCTTTCCCCTAGATCATCTTTGCTAAGGATGGGCATTTTGCCCTAGAGGAGCTGGCCCAGGCTGGCTACGAGGTGGTTGGGCTCGACTGGACACTAGCCCCACAGAAAGCCCGGTGAGTGATGCAGAGTTGGGTCCTTGCGGTTAAGGCGGAGAGGGGGCAGCTGCTGTATGTGCAGTTGCCAGAACTTGGCACTGGCTCTGCTTTCAGGGAGCGTGTGGGGAAGACCGTGACATTGCAGGGCAACCTGGACCCCTGTGCCCTGTATGCGTCTGAGGTAACAACCAGGATCCCTTTGTGGGTCTATGAGTTTGTCTTTGTGCACCTCGGAGACATGCTGTGTGAATTACTGTGTGTTTTTATTATGTCTGTCTGTCCCTTTCCCACCTCTCCATCCCATACATACAATGTAAGCTCTATGAGGGCAAGGATTTTTTTTGTTCATTTGTTTTTCTCAGTGCCTAGCCCATATTAGGTATATTTTATTGAATTAATATTGAATGAATAAGAGTAGAAGCATGCCTGTGTATATGTGTGTCACTATTATGTATAGCAAGGCCAGAGGCCTGCTGGCCCCCCCGTAGCCAGTGCTCTCTTGGTCCCCCAGGAGGAGATCAGGCAGCTGGTGCAGCAGATGCTGAATGACTTTGGGCCACAGCGCTACATTGCCAACCTGGGCCATGGGCTTTACCCTGACATGGACCCAGAACATGTGGGGGCCTTTGTGGATGCTGTGCACAGACACTCACGTCTGCTTCAACAAAACTGAGCATGTACCTTCTCCCCCAAGTACCACCAACACAGATGATTATTTCCAGAAGAATAAAAGTCCCAGAGTTGGAATCTAGTATGTTGTTTTGTTTGTGAAAGATCTGTGCCCTTATCCTTACTTCTTTTTAGCCTCTGCTCCTTTCCTGGGGCTTCTCTCTGCACTTTTTCCTCAGGGAGCTCAGGTTATCAGTGAATATGTGCTACAGGAATTAACGTCAGGATCCTCACTGTCCCCTTGGTCCTAGATATCTAAGCCTCAGAGCTACAGGGGTTGGGTACAGCTTCCTAACAGTTGGGGCTGTAACATTTGCAGAGAAAGGGGTGGGGCCCCCACAGCATACAAAGGCCAAACTGACCAGGCTTTGTGTCTGGGCAGAGAGGGGAGTATAGATTAAAAGAGGGCACAGAAGTGGCTGGAACACTTCAGAAAGGACTGGGGAGGAAGATGAAGTCTGAGTGAGCAGGGAGAAGTTGAAGGGCCTTCAGCTTTGATGCCGAAAGATGGGGAAGGCACAAAGACTCAGAGCTAGGAGCTGGGTTGGTTAGGCCTTAGAGCAGACTGCCATCACCGAGGCGAGAAAGCCTTCAAAGCCAGAAGCCTCTCTGGCGCTCAGGGTTGTTCTGCATTCTCTCTGGAGCACATCCTCTAATTTTCTCAGGATCTTGGTGTTTCTTCACATAGTGGCATCTAAATCCTGAGACAAGGCTCTGTGGTGCCTGTGAGAACTGGAGAGAGGTCTGGCATGGCAGAAAATTCCTCATCTGATATATCTCCTCAGACCACCAGGAACCCACTGTGTTACAGGCCCAACCAGAAACCTGTCCCAACTAGGCAATATGGAGGAGAGAAAGGCCTAATTTATTGAGAGAATGTAATTTCTCCTTTTAGAAAAATGATCTTTTCTGTGATCCATGATTTATTCATAGAAAAGCACTGTGAGTTCACACATTTGCTAAAAAAGGGTAATCGTGATACAGAAATGGGAGTGGCTTCTCTTTTTTTTTTTTAACCAACAAATTAGGCTGAGAGGTTGTAGGGGCCCATGGCTGGACAGTAAGACTTAAGTAGCCACAAACAGTTAATACAACTTATTCGTCAGTCAGGAGCAAAGGTGACACAAACAGTTTGTCAAAGAAGGGAAAATAAAGTAAAGCAGACAGGGAGGTCCTAGTTCACACTCTAGCTATAGCACCCTTCCCTATAACACCCCACCCCCCACTCAGAAACTAAGACATGAAACAGTAAACACAAGACACTGGCATCCAAATGACTCTTCTGAATGTCCCTTGCTACCTCCTATAAAAATTCCACACTCAGAATAGGGGACAGGCAGGTAGCAGGAACATGGGACACTGTGGAGGTCAGCCAGAGCTAGGAAAGGGGTAGTCCAACAGGACTAGAAATCAGGAAGGGAAAGGCCAAATGAATTCTAGCCCCAGCCTCCAAATCAGCGACCAGGGGGACTGTGACAAAAGCAGGCAGAGGAAGCCTGAGGTAGAAAGGCAGGGGAAGAAAGCAAGTGTGGAGTCAGAAGAGAACTATGGGGCTCAAGCAGCTGGTTTTAGGGCAGAGAGAAACTGGTGCTTAGAAGCTTGTTGGTGAGAGAGAATGATGAATAGAGGAGGCACAGAGATGGGGGACATATTTAGCTGGTGAGACAGACTGAGAGAGGAATGACGAAGAGAGATCTGGCAAAGAGAGAAGGGACACATGCAGATCCTCAAACATAAGTACACAAACATACCTACATGTAGAAATATACACACATAATGACACAGATCCGTGAATAGCAGGCATACACAGATATAAACGTGTTTATACACATGCACTTATGTGTGCCCAGAAACACACACTAAAAATGCATACATATATGAACATGAGTGCATTTACACACAGATACAGATTTATGCATGTATGCTAATGTGTACCTCCTCACATCCAGAGTCCAACACACATACATGTATCCATACATATATCCATACATGTATCCATACATGTATCCAGACACATGCAGAACTAACCCAGTACACATATATATGTGCACATACAGACAGGCATGCACAGATACATTTGTGCACACGGACACATGTATTGAGCCACGTAGATATACACATACATATGCAATCAGAGATAAAACAAGACGCTCTCTAACAAACATGACCAGAGTAGATGTATATCATGAGCTCAATGGCTTCCCAGACCCCAGACCCTCATCTTCTCCCTGCACTTGCTTCTCAAGTGCTCAGCAGGCTCCCGAGAGGCTATGTAAGGCAGGAGCAGGAACAGGAGCTTCAGTGTCCTCATAGCTTCATGAGGCAAAAGTCTAAGTCCTGGCCTCTGCCCTTCACCCACATTTGGGCTACAGATGCCCGTCTGCAGGCTGGGGTTTCTGCATAGACTAGACTTGAGAATTATTCCGACTGGCCATTTTTCTCCCTACCACCCCCACTCTTCCACTGCTGACAGCATACACTCTACAAGGGAAACCTGAGAAATGGTTGTGAGTCTCCTCAGAAAACAAGACCTCCTTTCAACCAGCTTATCCTCCCACCCACAGCTACTTCAAGTGCCCATCAAATTAGAACCAGAATCATAAATAGTTACAACTTTACAATGTCATTGGCACCACATATACTATAGTATTTACAGTACCATAAATGCTTCTGTTTTCTCTGGTTAAGCAATCCCTGAGACGGAACAGTGTTCTGTGTTTGCCAAGGGAAAGAGGGCCAATGCCCAGGAAATGCAGGATATAGGGGTGCGAGGTGGCATGTTGTGGGGTTTCTGATCGATCTGCAGGGCCCAGCTCCTCCAGGAACAGTTGGCTGTAGTGCGAACCTGGCCAAGGCAGGCCTATTGGCTACAGTTGGACTCTCCCCATCCTTAGCCCTGTGGTCCTTTGGTTTCAGTCACAGGTGCTCAGAGTCCTCTCAGGGGGGACAAATGTTTCAGTGTCCTTGGCCTGACCTGATGGAACCTGGCAGCCCAGCCTGCCCTGGTGGTGAGCTGTCTGCTTTCTCAGCCAAAGCGCTCTCGCACCAACAGCATCAGCTTCTTCTTGCCTTTGTAGATCTGTTTGAGGTTGTCGATGAACTGGGCAAACTGCAGGTGGCCATCCTGGGGCAGCAGGAAGGTCTCCCGAGCCTTGCTCAGAAATTCAATGAACTCTCCATAGTGGCGGGGGCTGATGTGTGTCAGGCGTGAGTGTGTGGTGTTGATATAGGCATTGATGGTAGCATCCAGCAGCTGGCGCAGTGGAGCTTTGTCGGTGGACATGAGTTTTCCGGAGCTGCGTCGGCCTGGGATGCCGGCCAGGCCAGGTGCAGTCACCGTGCAGCGCCGCAGGATGTCTGAAAGCACCGTGGCACAGTGCACGCTCTTTACCACCAGGGGGATGAGAGCCGCCAGCTCATTCTTGCCTAGAGAGTGGCTGAGGGCACATGCCCAGAGCACATCATTGATGGCCGGGTGGGTGTCCTGGTTATAGGCCAGGTTGAGATGGCTCATGGCCAGTGAGGCCAGCTTGAAGGCACGTAGCGGGTAGCCACGGAGCTCCATGTAGCGGGCAATGGTGAACAGCTGTGAATGGGTCATGCCACCAGCAGCAGCATCAATGGTGATCTGGTAGGCTGCCTCAAAGGCGATGTGGTCTTTCTCACAGAGTGTAAGAGCTGACAGAGCACAGCTCTGTGGATCCTTCATAGCACACTGCAGGGCCAGGGTGCGAGCGCAGCTAGCCAGCTCCTCCCGCTGTGGATAGTCGAGACTGAGGCGCAGGATAGTAGTGTGGGACACGGCTGTGGCAGCCACAATACTAGTAGCCTCAGTGGGGGTGAAGAGTGTGTACCAGCTCTGCAAGATGCTCACCAGGGCCCGCACACCTGTCAGGGAGAGCCTGAGCTCAGCCGTGGCCATCCGGGTCCCAATCCAGGTCTGCCCAGATTATCATTTGGGGTCAGAACTTGGCCTGTAGAGATGAGTTCTCCCTCCTCATCAGCAGCCTTGAGATGATCTGAGGCAAACCAAGGCAAGGGGAGCATCCCGGATGGCCAGACCCTGTTTGGGGTCTCTTCCCATCCCTTCCTTCCCCAGGTGAGAGGGTTGAAGGTCTCTGTAGGTGCTCTTAGCTCCTCACAAGGACGAAGCAGCAAAGCCTGTGGCTTGCTTACCCCAAGGCAGGTGTCCCAGGTCTGCCTGGGGGTTCTAGCTGAAGTAGGGTAGAGAGTCTTGTGCCGGGGCTTTGGGCTCTAGAAGGGGTCCTCAGCCTCCAGGTTGTCTGGGGTTTCTCAGAAGCATGGGCAGGGACTAGGACCAAACCACAGGGCCAACCACCTCCCAAGGGAGCACTTGAGTATTGGTGGCTGAAAATTCATTCTCTCAGACATGTCTCTGATCAGAGGGTTAAAGTGCAGCTGACATCAGGGTATAGTCCAAGCAGTAAGGGCAGAGCTTGGGCTGGCTGAACAGAGGCCGTCTTCTACTAGCAGCCCCATCCTTTCCTAGGCCGTCAGTAATGGGAATAAGAGAGCTCTAAGGATTCATTGTCCTGTCTCAAGAGTAGGGCCTAGAAACTCCTTTCCCCTGGGGGTAGAGGGAGGTGGGAGACTCACCCACTTCTGTAGCACATGTCACCAACCATCGCACCATCTCCCGGCGCCTCCAGTTAAGGGTCGATAAGGTCATCCGCATTACCTGGGCACAAAAGAGGATTTATGGTGGGCTGAGCCTAATTGTTGTGACTTCCCCATTTCCATTCATTTATTCAACAAATATTTACTGGTGCTTTAAACAGCCATTTCTCCCTTGGTAAGTATAGACAAGTCTGTTTAACATCTGTGCCACATCTCCCACCATCAGATATGAGGCTTCTCTGATGAAATGCAACGAATAAAGTCCTTATTACCATACCTTGCTTGACTTGGAGGAATTGGGGCGGGGAGGAAGAGGAAAGATGGGGACACTATAGAGCCTAAAGCTACACTGCTTCTGGTCTTAACTTCAAAATGGAGCCCAATTTATGCAGTCCTTACCTATAGGGTCGCTATAAGTCAGAATCGACTCGATGGCAATGGGTTTGGTTTTTTGGTTTTTACCTAAGGACCAGTCTAGAACTTGTGTTCTGGGGACACAGGAAGAACAAGACTTGTTTGTGCCCAGTCCCCCTGGGATCTCATGTCTTGTCAAATGTCACTTGGCCAGAGGGTTACAGCAGGGATGGCCTATTCCTTCCCCATACCTGTAACCCTAGTTCCAGAGCCACGTTGAGCAGGGTGCTGTCGGTACTACTGTCTGTGGGAGTAGCAATCTTGAATGCATCTTGAGCCAATTTGAAGATAAGGGAGGAAGAATGGATGTGCTTCTGTATTGCTTCCAGGATTGTTCGAAGCCTCAGAGTATCCCCTGTAGATGCAGAGAGAAGGAGCAGGGGCAAGACCTGCTTTAATGCTTCCTTGAACAGTCAGCTGATCATAACAGGCACTGATTGAACTGGCTATCAATTCATTGAATGCTTCTGGATGCTACCATCCTTTCTGGGCGGTCAACTCTGTCTCCAATGAACCTGGTGGAAGGTCCTTCCTTTTCCAAGCACCCACATGAATTCACTTCTCTCCACTTTTTGATTTGCCTCTAACCCTCATTCTCTATACCTTTAGGGTCCTCAGGTCCCAGAAATAATTTTCTTGAACACATGAATTTTGAAATCTACTTATACAGGAGACAGGAAGCCACATTATTGCCAAAAAAGTATGTCAGGCCCATTGTTTGCCTCTCACTAAAGCCCCCTGAAGCAAAAAGGAGCTG